AAAGGATAAAAGAAAGGTAGAAATATTAAAAGATGATAATAAAATAAAGAAAGTAAAAAAAGGTAAAAAAGAGGATAAACTTAAAGAAAAAAAAGGAAAATAAAAAAGAAAATGATATGAGATAATATTAAAAAATACGTAAAAGTAAGTAAAAGAAAAGAGAAATATAGAAAAAATTAGAAGAGAAATAAAAAAAATATTAAAATACAAACAAAATAACAAAAGGGGATTTAAAAAAAAAAATAAAAAAAAATACCGATATTAGAGAATTTAAAAAAAAAATAATTAAAAAGATAAATACCGCAAGGGATTTTAAAAAAAAAGAAAAAAAAATAGAAAATCAATAATAAAATATCGGGGGAAGGGGAATTTAAATAAATAATCAAACAAATAATAATAATAAAATACCTACTGGAGGGAGAAATTTAAAAAATTCAATATAAAAACACTGGAGAGGAATGGGGAAAATTAGAAAATATATATATATAAAAATAAAAAGATGGGAGGAAAAATAAATCAAAAAAAATAATAAAAAAATCGAAAAAGAAAAAAAAATTCAAAAAAAAAAAATATGTTTCGAAGGGGTGGGTGGGAGAATAAAAAAATAAAATAAAATAATAAATAATTAAAAAAAAAACGAAAATAATAGTAAATTAAAAAAAAAATATCAATACAAAAATTAAAAATAAGAGAGAACTGGATGTGTAGTGCTCTGAAAGAGTCAGGTCAGACCCGGGTGATCGACCCGACCCAGATTTAAATCGAGTCAGAATTGGTAATTTTGATGACCTGTGACCCGCATGAACTGACCCGTCGGGTTAGGGTCATACTGTTGCTTTGACCCAGAACAACCCGATGACGTTATGATGATGCGTAAATTTTTTCACACGAAAAAGTTTTTTTTACGCTAAATTTTACGCGTATATTTTCCACACAAAAAAAGTTTTTTTTACGCGCTAAATTTTAGCTTTATTTGTGGCTTATATATGTGAAATATAAATATGCCCGAAACTATTGACTTTATTGAACTAGTATCTCAACTTGAAAATGAAAAAGTTTGCGTAATGAGTTCTTTATTAATAATCTCTTTGAGGAGAAATACCTTCCATCAGAGCATAAAAGTACAAAAACACATCGTGAAGTTAGGTGTCTTAACTGTCCGTTTAGTAGCAACAAAAAGAAGTAGCCTTAAAACACACTATTCGTACGTGTATGTGTTTAAAATCTTGGTAAACATGAAAGTGATTTAGACTGGTCAATTTTTTTAGCTCACGACGAATGGTCCGTTCACTAACTTCAAGCTCTGAGTTTTTTTCTTGAAGTTGGGCCTTCATTTCACTTGCTGTAATGAAATGATTATGCTTGATGATCATTCCAATTTGGCAACATTTTTTAGAAGTTAATTTTCGTGATCGACCAGACTGATAACCTATAGCAGTGATGAGCATTGGAAGTTTCCAATGATTTTTATTGGAATTGGAAGTATTATTGGAATTAGAAGAATTTGAAGTCAAAAAGTACTACCAATTTTTCACTTTATATAGAATTTATATGTTTCTATGGGCATTGGAAACTTCCAATACCTTTTTATTGAAATTGGAAATATTATTGGAATTGGAAGAATTGGAAGTCCAAAAGTGCTTCCAATTTCCAATACACATCACTGACCTATAGTAATAAAAAAACATTATTAATGTGTAACTTGTCAATTAATTTTACCATTGTTTGCCGAACATAATAAAATTCATATAAATTCGGTTCAACCTAGATTATTTGAGTTAAATTACATTCGGGTTGAGTCAAGTTCGGGTTAAATAGTTGACTAACCTGAAAATTTGAGTCAAGTTACATGAATATTCGAGTTGAGATTGAACATCTCCTCAAACTAAATCTAACCAACCCGTATGGAGCAATACGAAGAGGAATAAAATAAAATAACAAAATTTAAAAGGGGAAGAGAAAAAAACATTTTTCAAAATTAAAAAAAAACAATTATTAAATAAAAAAATAGAAATAATTAAAAAAAAAATATTTTTTTTTAATTTCAAAGTTTCGATATGCCGTGACGAACTTTGAACGAGAATATATCGACATCCATCAGACCAAGGCATATTAATTTTGATATGCAGATTTGGTAGGTTCTGCTCTTTCAAAAAAGTCCAAAACCGTCCAATTCTAATCACTCGATCCAGAAATATTTGATAATAACTGAAAGCAATTATTTTGAGGTTCATTTCGGAAGAATCTCAAGCAGGTGTGAATACCAGAACTGAAGCAAAAGGAACTGTCCGAAAAGTAATGATGCTAAACACTAATTTCACCATTTGAGAACCTAATGGAAGTGAGAAAATTGTATATTAATAGCTTTTGAAAAAGTTCAACCCGTTAATCGTAAATTTTCAACAAGCGATCTATCCAATGTTTGGAATGATCTAATAGCTTTGAGAGTTGGTAAAAAAAAACAAAAACCGATTTACCGTGACGAACTTTGAACGTGAATTATATGACATCTAATGATCAGATCCCTATCGTATTTGATATGCAGATTTAGTAAGTTCTTATATTTCAAATAAGACCAAAACCATCCTGTGGTTTACCTTAGTTTTAAAGCTTTTATTAATTGCAATATCTAATGGTTGCAATTTTGATATGTCACTATTTAAAATTATAGCAATATTAGTATTTTTTTCTACTAATCAATTTTTAACTAAACTTACAATATGACTGAAAAGAATTTATTACTAATAAGGAACTTGGTAAATTTTTCAACTTAAAAATGCAAACTGCTGGAAGTTCGCTACCATTAGAAGTAAAACTGTAAAAGATTAATGCTCATGACCTATAGTATTAATGCTAACCATTTTTGTATATTTATGATCTATGGTGAAATTATTTGGTAAATTAAACCATAAAGGTATCTTATCCATATTACTTATGTATTTTGACAGATAGTTATGCTGAATCCTTCTATATAAAACATAACTTAAAAAAATATTTTGTTTTTCAAGCAAGTTGTAATAATTGTTGTAATACTGTTATTTTATGTAACTCATTAAGATTATATCTTTTCAAAAATCCACTTAGCCATTTATTTGAAAATTTGAATGAAATGACATTCGGATTATTTGCCAAAAAATCCTAATTTTTAAATAGTATAATTGCTTTATTAGTAATAATTTTTTGGCTAGTGGCATTTTAATTTATTCTTCTATCAAAAATCTATATATATAATTCATCTTTTAAATCTGTATATTTAGCAAATTTACCCAGATGAAGCTTAAGAATATGAGATGCATATGCCAATAATTTTGCTTTATTGTTATTTTATTCAATACTTATTTTGGTTGAATATTAAAATATTTGACAGTTCCATGTTTACTTCTTTCATTATTTTTCAAAAAATATACCACCATTAATTTTTCTCTTGCATTTCTTTCTTTTATGATAAATGATTACGTACTTTTTGATTTTTTTGTTTTCAATAATAACTATATTTACTTTAAAATAATTTGCATCACAAATAAAAGACAAAGAAAAAAATGCGTTTATCATTTATAAGGATTTATTACACAAAAATAGGAGAAGAAATAGATAAATGTGATTTATAAATCTTTTTTTCCCAAAAGGGTAATTTATCTTACTTCTGAAATATTAATACAATATGTTTAAGTATTATATATGGCAAATATCCTAATACTTTATAAACCTTATATTCCTCTTATGCATAGTATTCCTATTATATCCTCCTGTATAATATACCCTAAGTATAGCCTTCAACTCCCTAAAATTGTATTATACCCAAGGTATTATAGCTCCTATTATGCGATATTTGTAAAGATATTTTACAGAATGAATGTTTGAACATATCTCTATGTTAATATAACAGTCATATTTTTGACAAAAATAAAGATTATAAGGTATAATCCATCTATTATTAATATTATTTCTTTTTCTATATGTTAGATATTCACACTAGTTTGTTATATTTTTTTAGCAAAATCTCTATGATAATTTTGCTATATTTACCATTTATTATACAAGAAAATTCAGGATTCAAGTCTCTGTAAGATTCATAATTATATTTTTGGTAACTGTATTATATAATAATAGTTATAGATTTTTATCTAAAATTTTTATGCATAAGATTTTATTAAAGTTTTCAGGTGATTTTAATTTATCTTCAGCTAATAAGATCATTAAAATATGCATATGTAATAATCCTCTTTTTTAGAATTCAATTATATATATATGAGCAAAAACTTTCTAAGTATACCTTTTACAAAAAGATCATAGATAATTCTTTTAATTTTAATTTAAACATTTTTGCAATAATATTAAGTCGATCACTTACTTGTTGGTTTGGCAAGAGTTTAGCTTTAGTTTCTGATCAATTGGGATTGCAAGAGACATTGACAAATAAATCAGATTTTTCATATTCTCAATTACTATAGAGTCTTAATATATTTGTTATATATTTAGTTGATCTAATAAATGAAGAAAATAAGATTATTTTTTTTTTTAAGCTTATCTTTATAAAAATCTTTATTAGTGACAATATTATGTAAACCTAAATATAATTCATTTCTGTAATATTGTTGCATTTTTCTATGTTATCTTAAACGATTTAATTCATATTTGGCATATTGATCTACTAAATATTATTAAAATAATCTTCCAATAAGATATAATATATTTTTATTTTATTTGAATCACTAATTCGCATTTGATATGTTGCAAATTCTCTAATTGTCACCCATTTTTTTCTTTTCTCTTGATTGATTTTCCAATTTTTTTCTCATTTATAGATTCAATTTTCTCATCATCATTATCTACCAGTTTAATTTTCTCATTATTATTATCTATAGTTTTAATTTTCTTATTATCATCATCATTGTCAAGAATAATAGGATTAACTTCATCATTTTCTTTATTAAGTATATACTCTCTTTTTTTACCTTTTTTTTAGTTAAAACAGATTCTAAATCAAGATTTTCAAAATTTTATATAATTTCTTCTTCAATATATATTCTATCTTCAAATTCAGATTCAGGTATAAAATCAATTACATTTGCTCTCAAAATGTTATCATGCTATCCATATTCACCATAAGGAAATAACAAAAGATATTGTAATAGATCATAAATACCATTTAATTCAGAGATATGTTTAAATATTTTTCATGAGTTTGAATAATAATATCTCAATATTTAAGTTGAATATCATAATTATAAAGAAGAACTGCAACTTCTGATACTGTTAGTTTATTATATTATTTTATATTCTTACCATATATATTATAAATGACTATTCTCTATTGTAAATTATTAGATTTACTTTTGGCTTTAGCTCCTGAGATTACAAATTGCTCAATAAATAGATTGTTCTTTAATAATTCATCTTGTAACGCTTTAAGCATTTTAGCATTCAAATTTAAAATATTTCTTATCTTCTTTGAAGTTGATTATCCATATTTGAATCATAAAAGTAAATCTGAGCAAATATTAGTTTTTGATTATCATCTCTTAGCATTAAACCTTCAATCTGATAATATAATTCATCTTGAATTCTAAATGTAAAATCCTCTTTTTGGTATTTGCAAGTTCTTCGTCAAGTTTTATACCTAAAGATATGAATATAAGAATCTGATTATAAGCTCTAATTTGAGTTATATAAGGTTCATCTGATTCTGAATTATTTTGTGTGAATAAATTATACAAAATTTGTGAAGTTAGAAGGAGAGATGCTAATATAACCTATCTATTTAAACAAAAGAATCCTTTTGTTTTATTCTTTTACATTAATATATAATAGTATTTATAAATGTTGTCTATTCTTTCAAATATATGTCTAATATATTCTACATTATCTTTTGTATAATCATTTATTTTACAATATTCTATCTTAAAAAATTGGAATACTAATCTTTCTTTTTTTGCAATATTTCTATTTTATTCATGAAATTGTTGTTGTTTCTTTATTTTTTTTCTTTGTTTAACTATTAGTATTTTTAAAGATTTTTGTTTTCTTAATTTTGCATTTTTAGTTGTTCTAGATGATCCAGCTTCTATACTTTCTTCTCTTGCTTGTTGATCAAAAAATCTTTTCCTAGCTTGTTTAATATTGTTTTGCCTTTATTTTTTTTCTTTTTCAGTTTTATTTCATGTTCTGGATATTTAGCTTCAATTTCTTTTAATATTGTAAATTTTGTCATCTTATTTGTAAATAAGTTTATAAATTTTATAAAAATTTTATTTTTTTAATAAAAAAATGTAAAAAATTTTGGTAAAAATCAAATTTTAAAAATTAAAATGATTTTATTTATTTATTTTTTTTTAATAATTACTAAAAAAAAAAGAATTCAAATATACTTTATTATTATATACATACATATATGCATATAGGATTTGTTAGTAATATGATAAATACTGCATATAATTAAATACCTGCATACATACATATATAATACTATTTTTATTTTTATTTTTATTTTTTTTAAAATTTTCCAATAATAGAATATGGAATTTTAATTTTTTTCAGTTAATTTAATATCACGATTTTTTATTTTATTTATTAATTATTTCAATTATTTATTATTAAAAAAAATAAAAAAATAAATATAAAGAAAAAAAAAAGACAAAAAATTAAATAAAAATAAAAAACTGGAATGGAAAATAAAAAAAAATAATAAAATTAATTAATTTAAGTTTCATTTTTCAGTTCATTCTTTCAGTTTTATCCTTCAGTTCATCCATTTTGGTTTGTCCTTTCAGTTTATACTTTTAGTTAGTTCTTTTCAGTTCATTTTTCCAATTTGTCTTTTTTGATTTATCTAAAAATTTTTTAATATAGTTTTATTTTTTAAAAAAAAAAAATTAAAAATCCTTTCAGTTCATCCTTTTCAGTTCATCATTCTTTTTGGTTCTTCTTTTCAGTTTATTCTTTTCAATTCATTTTTTTTTAAATTTATTTTTATCTTTTTATTTGATATTTTTAACCTCCCTTTCCATCTGATAATTTTTTTAATTTTTCTTTTTTTTCTTTGTTTTATATTTTTTTATTTTTTTCTTTATTTTCATTTTATATTTATTTTTTATATCACGTTACAATTTTTGTTTATTATTTTTTCTACTTTCAGAGATCTGCAGTTATACAACTTATCTGAAAAGGCAGCGTGACATTTTTTATAGTGAAAGGACTAGCATAATATATTATAGGAGATTCTACCTGAGTGATGCCTTAGAATCGCTTTATAATAAAAAAGGGTAAAGTTTTACAAATTCTAAGAAAAGTTAGGTTTGGCTAGATTAGGTTAAAATTGAAATTGGAGTTATTTTAAATTAAAATCAGATTATAATAATTAATTTAAGAGATATGATTAAATTGAATTAAATTAAATTGTAATTAAATTAATATTATTAAGGTTTAGATTGGATTAGATTGAATTGTATTAAATTCAGATTATATTAAATTATATTAAGATATTGTTTGAGTTATAATCTGATTATAATTTGATTATAAATGATTAAGATAAGAATTTGTATTTTAAGACTCTATAAGTAACTTTATATTTTTACATAATAATAGACAATTTATTCAATTCTTATAGATAAATAAACCTTAGTATCACCAGAAAATTAATTCAAAATTTGCTTATAAATACTTTTTTTAAAATTGATTTTAGATTAGCTTAAAATTTTACTAATATTCAAAACTATTCAGTATCCAGTGATCCAATTGTAATAAATTTAACTTGATTTGAAGCTCTCTTAGTACTGAATCTGGTTATTTTGAATTGGTATTTCTATGACCTTTAGATCACATGATTGTTTAATTTTAAGGATTTCAAGAATTTTTAGTTTAAATAATTGATTTTAAATACTCATGGGTAACCCTATTTTCTTACATATTAATATACAATTTTCTTATTTCCTTTAGATTTTCAGATGCCGATATTAGTATTCAGTATTATTTTTTTTAGACAGTTTCTTTTGCTTCAATTCGGATATTCACATCTGCTTAAGATTCTTTCATGATAAATCTCAAAATAATTGCTTTTAGTTATTCTCAAATTTATCTGGTTTATGTGATTAGATTTGTACAGTTTAAAGCTTGTTAAAATGATCAAAACTTACTAAATCTGCTTATCAAATTTTATATATTTCAGTCTAGTAAATGTAAGATATTCGCGTTCAAAATTCATTATAACATATCAAAATTTTAAAATTAAAAAAATATATATTTTTTCAATTATTTCTATTTTTTTATCCTTCAGACTTTTTATTTTTTATATATATATTTATTTTTCTTTATTCTTCTAGTCTTTTATTTTTATTTTTTTAATTTTATATATAAATATTTTTTTTAATTACCTCTTTTGATCTTTTTATTTTTTAACTTTTATATAATATATATTTTTTAAAAAATTCCCTCCTGGGTATTTTTTTTAATTTTTTTTTTCACTTCAGTCTTTTATTTTTTTTTAATATTATTATTTTAATTTTTTTCCTTCTACCTAATCTTTAATTTTTTTATTAAATTTTTATTATTATTTTTTTTAGTTTTTTCCTCCAATCTTTTTTATTTTATTTTTAATTTTTTTTAATTTCTTTAAATCCCCTTCACCTAGTATTTTTTTTATTATTTTATTGATTATTTTCTTTTTTTAAATTCCCTTCCCCCTTTAATATTTTTTTTTATTATCTTTTTTTTTAAATTCCCCTTCCACAATATTTTTTTCATTTTTTAATCTTTTTTTTACTGATTTCTATTTTTTTTTAAATTTTTAATTTTTATTCTTTTACTCACTCCTTTAAAATATTTTTTTCCCCACCTTGCATTCTTCATTTTTTTTTAAAAATTTTCTATTTTTTTATTATTTTTTTTTTATTATTTCTTTTATTGTTTTTATTAATTTTCTATTTTTTTTTTATTTTTTTTATTAGTTTTTTTTTTAGTATTTTTTTTAATTTCCTCACTTGTCTTTTTCATTGATTTTTTTATTTCATTTTTCTTTCATTAGTTTTTTTATTTCTTGTTTTACTATTTCATTCTTTTTTTTCTTTTTTTTCTTTTTCTTTTTATTTCTTTTTATTTGTTTTCTTTTTTTTGATTATTTATTTTTCATTTAATTAATTTTAACTTTCATTTATTCTTTTTATATTTTATTTTTTTAACTTATTTTTTTTTTTTAGTTTTTTGTTATTTTTTTATTTCGTTCTTTATGTAATTTTTTTTATTTTAGCTTTTTATTTCCTTTATTTTTTCTTTTTGTTTTATTTTCTTTATTTAGTTTTTTATTTATTTTTTTTATTTCATTATTTTTATTTAGTATTTTTTTATTTCTTTTATTTTTTTATTTTTGATTAGTTTTTTTATCTCTCTTCTTTTTATTTTTCATTTTTATTTTATTTTTTAAAAACATAAATAAAATGAAAATAAAAGAAAGAAAAAATTAAAAAAAATTAAAATATAATTAAATATAGATTTCACTAAATCTCAATGAATATGTTATTTTTAGTTTTTTTATATTGCATCTCAATTTTTGCTTATTAATTTTCTATTTTCAGTGATTAGTGGTTGCATAATCTGTTTAAAGTGGTGGCGTAATACTTTTATTAGTAAGGGAACTGGTGTAATATATTATAAGAAACTAGTAAATCTACCTAAGCGATGCTCTAGGGTCACTTCATGACAAAAAAAAGTAAAGTTTTTAAGATCATTTAGGTTTAGTTTGGTTAGCTTGTCATTGAAATTGGTATTGATTTAGTTAAAATCAGATTAGAATGATTAGTTATAGAAATATAATTAAATTGGATTGGATTGGTTGGATTGTAATTAAATTATATACATTAAAGTTAGAATTAGGTTAAAATAAATTAAATTATATTAGAATAAAGTTTGAGTTATAATTTAGCTATGATTTAGTTATAATTGGATTAGAATAAAATTTTATATTTTAAGATTTTATAGGTAACTTTATATTTTAACATAATAATGGACAATATTTTATCTCTTATAGGTAATTTAATCTTGGTATTACTAGAAAATTACTTCAAAATTTGCTCATGAATACTTCTTTCAAAATTGATTTTAAATTTGCTGCTTAAGATCAGTTTAAGATCTTACTAACTTTCAAAGCTATTTTAGCATCCAGTAATCCAATTGTCATAAAATTAGCTTAATTTGAAACTTTTTTAGAGTATAATACTTATCATAAATTGGTATTTCTATAATCTTTAAATCACATGATTGCTTCATTTTAAGGATTTAAGAATTTGCAGTTTAAATAATTAATTTAGAACACTTATAAGTAACTCTATTTTCTTATATATTGATATACAATTTTTTCACCTCTAATAGATTTTCAGATGCTAAAATTAGTATTCAATTTTATTTTTTTTCAGACTGTTTCTTTTG